CTCACGTGGCATGGGGCGTAACGGTTTCTACCATCCAATGCGGATACCACGTTAGAGCCTGACGAGCTACGCGTGGTCAACTTTTTCAGCCTGAGTACGGGCGCCTGGCGCCAGCACTTTAGCTGTAGTAGTACTAGCTCGACCGGACAAATCCCAAATAACAAAAATGTCTCCTACTTGAACACCACCAGTTCTGCTAAATACTTCAAGGCTGGGCAGGGCAATTTGCCTGTTGGAACGACTAGAGTGTAGCGCAGAGAAACCGTCTGATATTCTATGATGTACCATTTGAGCGCAGCGCTCCCGCTACACTCTAGTGGCGGAATCAAGTTTTACTCAAAGATTGGAAACGTAGGCCGAACGGACTATCCGCCCAAGACACTAGAACCGTAACCAGGGTACGGCATCGTTGTGAAGCACATGGCGGGGATACTTGGCCTCTGGGTAGGGGGGGGTCGTATTTGGTCGTTGTTGGAATAGGGGTGGAGGTCGTATGTGGCTTTGAGAGAAATTTGCCGCGTTGGGAAAAAATTTTCCAGGTTGTTGACTTTTCGTGATTTTTCCTGTTTCATGTGTACTATGTACTCCCCCCCCCCACTCGACGCAAAATTTTTGTGTGGAAAAACTGGAAAAAACTGAAAATTGAGGAATCGGTAGGTAGGTGTTGGGGCAGGGGAGGCTGTACCGAGACCCTCTCTCGAGGGGGGGGGTCGTACTGAACACCACCATTTTACACATCACGATGTTGTACCCTGAGTGTGACAATGCAACAGTACACGACAGTCCTTTCGCGCCGAATTGCCTTATTCCTGAGGGGCACAAGGCCTGATCACCTTTGCGAGGTTCGACTCGTTATTTAGCGTGACAGTTTTACCGCAACGCTGCCTTGGATCTAATAACTATCACATGATGGCCGCACACCTGATTGTAGAAGCAGTCCGGCATGCAAAAAAAACAAGGCAATTTTTATGTTTTTCAGGTTCTAATAATTGTTAAAAAACTGCCGGAAGTGCTAGTAACCAGACTTCCATGAACTCATGGTAGCCCGGATGTGATTTTGTCCTCAAAACGTTGAAAGGGTGTCTTGAACCTCTGTATATCAAGCTTTCGACCGACTAGCCCACCTCGGAAGATGGAAACTCGGCATATTTTGTCCACAGTATGACCCTTGAGGGTCGGGTGACGAAAAATACGAAGGATCTCGTCCTCCCAGACGACTTGAGCCCTAATTAATCGAACCAGAAGAGTTGTGAAGTCGGTTTGATCTGGCCGAATTGATCAGGGTGTTGTTCCCTACAACAATGTTCGTCAATTTTTGCCCGTTATCGCACTGCCTTCTCCGTGCCATTTAGCGCTCCATTCCCGTAGTCTGTTGCCATGATCTATGCCCTTTGGCCGTTGGAGGACATTTTGTTCAGTCAATTATAGAGTTCATTGTTCACTGTCATCGAGACCTGTGATAGGAACAATAAGATTCAACTGTAACTACTGGTATACTATACTTTAGCAGCATTTTAGGACCATGTAAGGTGTCTGTCGTCAATTATAGATCGTCGTGTTCCACAAAAGACAAATCGTCACCATACCTCCAAGGACCGTTCTTCCCATGTGCCAGGCGGATCGGCCCGCAGCTGCAAAAGCGTAGCACTTTCTCGGCTCAAAAGTGCACGCAACTCAAGGGTAATGGTTAGTGCCGTCTTTATACTTCGCTCCCGCTATTCTCGAGGGGCATTTTGTTTTTAGTGGAACTGCGTCGATACAGAGTTCCACAGCCGAACGCGCACTCATGGTCAGTGGTAGAAAACAACCAGAAGTGAGAGGGCGCAGACAAATAGCGCGCGCAACTATGGTTAACCGTGTGGTCAGCCGTGCGGCAGCCCAGGTGGAGTACGTAGACAGTGCCGCTATCCTCTAGCACCTTCCCGTAAGCTTTTGACTACAGAAATAGCACGCTACTGCTGCTTCAGACCCTTTCACCTCACAGACACCAAGGATCAGGATTTCACGAAGAGGGATGCAGAATTTCTTCTCAGGTAACATCTACCGCCATTTCACGACTACCGCCTGACAAATTTCCATCACGAGTCGCGAACTCATCAGAAGCATTCTGGAATTCGTATGGTAAACGACCGCCTACCATCTGCTAAGGTGGTGAATTAGGGCTCCAAATGGCCCTTGAATCTTCATAAATTTGTGGTTTTCCCAAGACTGTTGGAAATATGTAATATAGGAATTTATTTGCTTAATACTTAATACACTGTACATGAAGAGCGAGAGTAGCCGATACGGCCTAACATTTGTTCAACACGAACTGAACGGCATCGATGTTATCATTAGCGAATAACGACGAACAGAGGCAAAAGTAGTACTGCCACCGTCGGTGGAATGTCTCTGAGTAGCCGAGGGCTAGCGTGTCCTTCTTGCACATCATCCATGCGCTGGAACAAAAATTGGATCTAGTGTGGGAATTGAGTTGGACAAAGGGCCCACAAAGGACTAAAAGACACATTTCTTCTGTATCGGACGGCAGGAGGAATGGACGGAGATCCACAACAGTCGTGGCATTTTCATTAGCACGCTCGCCCTCCTTCTTCTCGCTCCCTTCTGTGGTAAGGGGGAAGCACGTGCCAATGAGGAAGACCAGTGACTTTGAGAGGTCCGCCTTCTCCGCCCATCTGGTTATCACGGAATGGTCTTCAGTAACATTATGCCAGCAGTCTTGAGTATTTTGTCGTTGAGCCCATCCAACCAATTCAGTGAAGCTTTAAGGAAGGTTATTCCACCAGAACGTGGGCCCTCAGGCTCACAAAATACTCAAGTCTACGGTATCTGCAGCAGTTCTCACCTGAACCAGTGATCCAGAGTGGTGGCGTAGTGTCGGCCGATATGGTGCTTTTCTCCGAATTGCAAGTCATCAGGGAGAGCGGCGTTTATTGCACCTTAAAAGGCCAGTAATTTGGAGGCTCTGTTCTCTTGAATTTTAACTCATTGACTTACCCAGTGAGGGCATGTGACCACCAGGGAATATGTACTTCTTGATGAAATCGGATGACTTGGAGTACTTCTCGTAGTAAGCATCAGGACAAATAATCGCCTGAACACGTTCCATTTGATTTTTCATGGATTTGTAAGAAAGTTTACAGATAAGGCTTTTGGAGCTGAGTAATACTTTTCAGGATGCGCCACACATTTCACTTTCAATCGGAATCGTAGTTGCATTTGTGCGATATGGTTTGGACAATGACTTGAGGGGCAGCCGATGTATGAAGCACTATTTCTAACAGTGAGTCTGTTTCCCAGTACCATACCGAGAGCTTGGAGGCTTTGTTGGCCCATGCGTGAGGGAATCAGGTGATCTCAAAGGCCAGCCACGCGTTCGTAGGGTTCTACGATCCTCAGCGGGAGTCAGATAAATTCAAACCTTGTCCCAACTTCCTACACTCCCTACCACCTCCCCCAGTTTTCCAGGAAAATCTCTAGTTTTCCCTCAAATCCTGCAATTATTTAACGGAGGAGGGGGAACGGAGCACATTGCCAGTCAACAACCTAAAACCCAGCACCGAAACACAGCTAAGGGGTGATGATAAGGGTCCAGGGTGCCGGGGGGTGGGTCGGCTGGTGGGTACAGGCACGTAAGCTCGTCATCTCGCGCAGTTCGATTAGCGTCCGGTTGCAACGCGCACCGCGTACCGGAACACTGTTTGCGTTTCCAAGCACAATGGTAGTCACTTTTCACCTTGTGAAATAGGAACAATGCTCATCTTGGAAAAGCAGCCAAAGTGAAAGTTGGAAAAAAATGACTAAATTAGTCTGGAAAAAGCAAATAGTTCCTGCACGCGCTGCGGCCCGTTGACGACCGCCCTAATCAACTGCCCGGATGACATAGGGTAAAACGAGCGAGAAATTTGCAAGAATACAATTCAGAAAAGATTTCCTTACGGTCCGACAAAATTTCCAAGTGAGCCAAATACGACCTCTCGCTGGTATTTGGCTCACGGAGAAATCCCTTCTTCCCTGAAGGGATTCTCCTAACGATCCTGTGGAAGGAAATGAACATTGACTCCACTTACGAAGAGAGTAAGTTGAATAAGTTTTCAGAGGAAAGCTTTTGGAACAAATTCAGCGCTAGAACTATATGTTATACCTGGCAACGCTTTCCTGCCGGGAACCAGTCGATCCGCAGAGTTTGGAAATATTGTTGGCGAGGAAGCGCGTTGGTCGACGCTTCGATCATTTCCACCGAAACTCACGGGTAAATGAGCTTGAAAACCAGTCTGAAATAGTAGTTTGGATTTCCACTGCAAAAGAAGAATACCGCTTCAGCTACCTGTAGTCCTGAATTCTCAGGTCGATCTTGTCCTCGAGACCAGCAGCCTTTACTCTGTCTTTAGCCAAAGCGAGTTGTTCACGTGAAATCGTTAGGCCAGTCCATTGGCAACCTGCGCCACGTCCTGAAAAGTTGCGCTTTTGGTCCATCGACTAGCAGGGGGAACTCGGGTGGGAACTAACCTGAACCGCTCGATCGCGAACGCTTCCCCATCCCGCCATCCTAAATCTCGAGCACTTGGTCGTTCTCGCTCAGGTCAAGCATATCGATGAGAGCGTCAATTTTTCGCAATTGGGCTTCCTCCAGCTCTTCAAAATCCACCTTTTCGACGCGATGACCGGGTTCTGAAGGGTTTTGTGTTATCTCCTTGGGAGTCATTGATTTATATAGAAGATGAAATGCAACAATTCCGGCAGATAAACCGGTGGGAGCGGGTGTTCAACGAAGTGTACCAGTGTCTACTTCGGACTAGCGGCATTCACGAATCCTAGTCAGTTGCTCGCGTTGCGGCACGCGCGCACGCAGCTGCCAGGTGGAGATTGGTCTCAACGCGAACAGAGACCGCACGGACACCTCGCTTCCAAAGAATTTTCGTCAGCGCGCCTGCGAAACTTATTTCCACTATCCGTACAGCAAACAGCGCGCATCCCCATATTATGCGCCTTTCTACCAAATTGTTCGGAAGTAGCAGGTCCAGTTTTGGATTGACCAAATATGGCCGTTTCTCTACCTCCGCCCCCACTAGCACAAATCGCGGAATGTGTGCAAAGAAACATTCCAAGAACGATCTGGTGGCTGAGCAGGCGAATAGCCAAAGCCGCCTTCTTCTCGTATCTCAGGCTTCCAGATCATGGAAGGCGTAAGGCGGAGTAGTGGACCAATGACGTTGTTTCCTGGCTCCACCCACGCAAACGGCACCATTAAAAAGAACTTACCCTTGCAACAGGCGCCCCATGAAATACAGGTCATGGTGTTTGTTCAAGAAGACCTCACACATGTCGTGTTACCGACTAGGTCGTAGGTGCTCTAGAACAAAAACGTAAAATTACTCGGGCCCATCGTCTCGATAGTAACAGACCGCTACCGTACCTTCTATATTCTTGGCACTTTGCGCTACAGTGTTATCTCTGATTCTATGTTGGATATAGTTGATTACGGCTGTCGTTTTACGTACGAAAGTCCAGTTCAAGCAACAGGTCGCATTACCACGGGCGTAACGCAAGAGGTTTCTCCTTGGGAGTGGTTTCGCCCGAGATTTCGAGCAGCCTGCCCATTCTCCTCTTGAAATGATGATGACTATTCATGATCTTCCTCAATGAGCACAAAGAGGAACTGTGACGAACTCTTTGCTCTGATGAGAAGCTTGAGGAATTCTGTAGGATTTGGTTCCGCTCGCCAATCGCCAGCCATATATGCTTCGCCAAGTCCCATTTTTTCGTCCAAAATCATCAACCAGCAAAAATGAATCGGGTTGTCGATGAACATCGTCACTGCACTTCTGAAATGTAAAGATTTTATTCTAAATATCCCAAAAGAGGACCTCGCCAGGGCGCAGATTTGCTAGAGGAGACCTTTTGCACTTTCGCTGCTTGCCATCGTCCTGTCAAGCCATCACCGAGAGATCTGCGAAAACTTGTCAAGCTATGAGGTGACTGAATTTGTTTTATTGTCCCATTCCGCTCAGGATAACGCATTCGCTTGGAAACCGTGAAGAGCGGAAGGGCAAGATGGCCCTCCCGAGCCAGACTGCGCCCTTGCGGGTTCCACAAACTAGGGCACTTCAATAACGGTGATCAACTCACTTTGTCCCTCCTTTTCCGTATTTGGCGCCATGACCAGTAGAAGTTACTTCAATGTACAGAGCCTCACTGGTTTTGTCAACAATGCTCTTTAGAAACCTGAAAGTAGCTACGGTTACAAAAAGAGACTAAGACTTTGTAAAAACCTCTCTTTTTGAAGATGTGTGGTCGTATTTGAGCTGAGGGGGAGGGATCGGCGCTCAGTGTAGAGATTCTAATTTATTCTCTATCTCTCGCTCTCCCTCTCTCTCTCCCTCTCTTGTTAAGTTGACAGATTTTCTACTGGAACACTGCAGGGCAGGGACAAGCAGACAGATATCAGAGGGGTCATATCCGAGGAGGAGATGGACAATATATGTCAGTAAAATTCGTACAGGTCCTTGATCTAACCCATTCAGGTTGGAAAGTTCAGAAGAAATCTGATGGTATTGGGCTCTAGGGTACTTCCTGTAGATGAGGAAAACTTTTGCAAAAGACGACACCCCCACCCCCTCAAATGTTATACTCTCGTACAACACACCCTTCTCCATCCTGTAGAGCTAGATGAGACCCGTTCCGAAAACGAAGCTCAAATAGGGCATTCCTCCCTTAGACTACCAGATACGACTCCATGTTGGGGATCCCCAGCGTACGATGAGCCCTTATTGAGCCCTGTACCTACACTGTGATCCGAACTCTACAAGAGATCCGGAAAGGCGATGGTGGGTTTCCGCAGCGACTACCTTACTACGGTAGCGGCTCATCATCCACTTATAGGCATAAGTTGGGAACGAGAGGATATTATATCAGCGCTTCGTTTTCGGTTTGAATCTTTAACGCCGCTTTTGAGGTTTAAAATCTGACCTAAAGAGCTCGCATTGTTCAAAAGCCTGACAGACGCTGATTACGTTCGAGTGCTTAGGCGCATTCCAAAGAAAGCGGTTAACTCCGAATTATTCAGCGTTTATGCCAATTTGGGTATGTACTCACCTGTTGATGAACGGGAAGAAGATGTGCGTGACGAGCAAATTATAGAGAAATCCTTGCTTCCTTATTGCACCCGAAGTCATCCTGAAAAGTGTGAGTATCAGTCAGAAAAAAAATATGTGAAATAAGAACATTTGAAAAATGACCGGTGAAATTGGTAAAAAAAATAATAGGGCACGTGGAGAATCAAGGAAGGCTAACAGTGCAGAAAGGAATAGTGAGCTTATTGAAAGAAGAAAAAAGCTAGTCCAAGCGTTTTTTCTCTTTCAAAGATTTTTTTCCGGAGTCTGCATGAAGTCCTGGCAAGTTTCTTCACCCGAGACCTTTTTCTCAGTTAAACAAGTGAGCAGATACGGTGGCAGCGAAACGACCAAATGAATTAGCGGGGCTGATTGGCCTCCCTTTTGTTCGGTTTATCGCTAGCGCTAACGCCGCATTCAGCGCATTTTGCAACGGTTCATTGTGTGCGATGATGTTAAGCTGATAACTTATCAGTCATGCTTAGACTTGACGTAAATCGCGCATGAGCGTGGTGCACGTGAGTCAATCACAAGTTA